TCATCATGAGGAGCTATTTAACCTTCAGAAGTGAGTTGGATTGTGGGACATGATTTTGGAAATACAGTCACAAAAACAGGTGAAATTCTGCTGTTTAAGCAAGCTGATAATTATTTTTTTAAAAACGTGCTCCTAAAAGTTGTTTTTACATCAGGTCAGTGTGTGCTTAGACTGCATCTCATCAGGTTTTATTCCTCTGCTTCCTGTTTCACTTTGGAAATGAAAACCTCACGTCTTGTGGCAGCAGCAGCCCATGTGAACCTCCAGCTACTGTGTCACACCATTTCATCATCGCAGGATTTATTTGCTTCTGGTGAAACCACGTTAGCCTCAGAACAGGAGGTCAAGCTGATAAAATGAGTCCACTCACATCTGTAGTCTTATATACACACGAAGTTTCTCACTTGCACTAAAATCAGAGCACACAAGCATGACCCCAGGTCCAGGATCATCTGCTCCAGACCCCAGTGCAGACTACCGTTTATTGACTGAGTGAAGCTAGACTGTCACCTCTGCCTGCTCTTCACTATCCAGGACTCCCAGTGAGGCGGCATTGATCTGAGGTGGTGAAATTAACTGAATTGTTTGCAGAGTTTAGCGGCAGTGACTGACAATGAGAAAACTGCACCTCCTAAAGCCTGACTCTTCTACTTTCTTTTTCAGGAGTTACTGCAATTAGAACAAAAAATACATCCAAATTTATTTTCTGGTTATTAGGGAGGCAATGCAAATATGACTATTTTTAATGGGGAGAGGCTCGATTGGACAAATGCGACACTTGAGTGGTTTTTACGCGCTGACCGGCGAGTCTTCCCGCCACCCACCCAGGGCCGTGAATGACCGCTTGCATGGCTCTTACCTGTAGTTGTCCCACTCCCTTCCCGCACTTTAACGCCCTATTAAACCATCGGTGAGGCTGCTGGTGTTACAATCCAGTGACGTCCCTGTGCTCTGGAGACATTTGCGTCCTGGGGAAAAAAACAAACCAAAAAAAAAAACAAAAAAATGGGAGTGGTGGCTTTTCTTGCCCCTCCGGATGAACTCGAACAGGCTTATTGCTTTCGATTATTCGTCTTTTTAAAAGAGCGGTGACGGCACCTCATCCACCACAGAGGTGAGTCTCCTGAATCCAAACCCTTTGTTTTAATCCCGATAGTCCACAAACCCGACGAAAGCCTGCACAGCTGTCTTATTAGGTTCAAACGGGTCCTGTTGTGCGCAATAGACGGGTGATAATCACCCGTGATATCAGCTCGCACTCTTCAGATGGAGTGAGGTGGATCCCATTAGTCACTTCAGCCCACAGTCTTTGCTCAGCCGCGTCTCCTCGCAGTCTGACAGCTCCGCTCCGTGCGCACTAACTTTTATGGAGACTCCAGAGCGCACGGCGCGCATCCGCTACCTCTGCTGGTAGCGTTACAGTAATCGGATTACCGCTATTGACGTAAACGTCACAAAAGAATGGGTGATAATTTAAAATGGTATTTTTAAAGCTGAAAACAATAACACAAATGTGTGTTAACGCGTGTTTTATAATGCATAAAGGCGAGGCTCAAAGCTGCTGCAATCATATGTTAGGAGACAGAAAGCGAGAAGAGTGTGAGAGTGTGATCCAAAAGTAGTGCAAGGAGTGAAGCAGGAACTATAAATGATGACTAATCAGTGATTGGTTGCTTTCGTTACTACACACAGCGCCGGGTCATCAATAACGCCAATGAAAAGCTAGATTCTCAGGCACGTGCCACCTGTCCGTCCCCTATTTAACCTTGTGCACTTAAAAACACAGAAAACAGCCTTTAGGCGTTTGTCCCACTCACTGAAGTGTTGATCTGCTGCAGACATCCATCCACATGCCGAGGCTTCCGCCGGCAAAAGTTGTCCACTACTGCCATCATGTGGATATATGATGCACTGCACCCCGAGAGAAATCACATAGAGCACATCTCTGATCAAAAAGTTGTTTATTCCATGGTGAAAACATCCC